AGTTGAACTTGCTCCGCAATTGGACCAAGTCGGCATCGTCTATCGCAGAGGCCATAAACCAAGCTATTGACTCGCTGGGGGTCGCCCAAATTCGAGGAGGACGGCGCCAGAAACCTGGAGGGACCGAAGTTGCGGCTCGATCTCGGCGTCGGTGGTTTTGTCACCACGGCCCATCGACACCCTCTCCCGACCCTTCGTGTCACCTCGAAGAGTCTCATCAAACAAGTCTTGATCGATGTCCGAGTCGGATTTGAGAAAGTAGAGGTCTACGTCCATCTCGTCATTGGACCCTACGGCCTGGTTCAGATCTGGTCCGACACCGCGATCCTCGCCGGGGTTCGGATCAGTCGAAGGGGAACCCAGGCGAACCATGGAAATCGGCACCACCTCGATAAGAGCCCTCTCGGTCGACGCTGGGGAATAAAGTACAAGCTTGCTCGTCGACGGCAGTGATAAATCGCCGGAAGAGCCAGTATTTCCCCAGGACGCGCCAGCACCGGACCCAGATTTGGGGGAGGAAGACATGATCGATAAGGAAAAAAGAATTGAGCCGGATATTGGAAAAAAGAAAATTCCGCCCGAAAAGTCGCCTGAAGATCTTTTGCTCTGTGAATCGACGAAACTGAAATTGTGCGAGTGAGAAGAAGAAGGACAAAAAACTGACCAAGGGGTTCAATTTATAGGAACCGGGATCCAACCAGGCGTTGACACGTTTCAAAATTTCGAAAGGGCGTAACTGCTACGAACGGATGCGCACGACCTTCCGGGCATTTAAGGGGTGGCAACACGTGTACGCCACGTAAGCCACGATAAAGCGTGGTACACCTTTTCGTAACCGACAAGAAAGTAACTGTCAGATTGAATAAATACACGTCTCTTCGGCTGACGTCATTAATGTCGATCAGGAGTTCATCTCATAATCACCAAGTACAGCGAAAATGTCGACCTAACCATGTGATCATTAAAAGCCAAGGGCGGAGCAGATCCGGGTTTATCTAAATGACGACCTCAGAGGGGACGCCGCGACCTCACCTCCGAGCTCGGGGGCCTGTATGTTGATATCTGGATCGGCCTGGCTAGATTCTAACGGGCCGGTCTGGTGAACCGGGTAGAGCCGGACTCCGGACCAGGGGGCCGAGCTGTGCAGAGACGTAAGTGTCGAACCGAGTCGAGAAATTATGTAACTTGGACTAACAGGGATATTTTCCGAGACCGGCACCCTGCTCAGTAGGGTGCGTGCCGGGCTCATTAGGTGCCGATCTGAAAGAAGACTCCTAAGAGTCGCGTGAACCCTTTGGAAAAAGGTGTCGATCAGACAATCCAGAGCTGCCCTCTCGGAGAATAGGTGTCGAGCTCGATGTTATTAAAGTATTCGCCACTTGAAAAGTCATCATTGGACGATGAGACGGTCTGTCATAGCCTGCCATGCTACAAGCAAACCTAGTCAAAAAAGCCTGCCAGCATTAAATGCCCACATACTTGCATTAAATGCTTGACAGGCAATGATTGAAGAAACCTTATATCGCATTAATTAACTGTCAGGGAGGCGCCGAACTGCTCCGCAAGACTAATGTGCGACAAGACCGGTGAGTAGTATCTGAACAGTACCTCATTTAAAGATACTATAATTAAATTGCAGCTCATTTCATTTATTTTGGGTTGTTGATTCTCAACAAACTCTACCTTCTCCCTATTTTCTCTCTCTAAAATTGTAAGAAACCCCTTGTAAGAACTGTAAGTATATCACAAGTGCCGACCTCGTACGAGAGGCCGACCTCGTGATCGGCTAATAAAATCATAATTAAACTATATCTTTCCTTCGTTTTCAGTCCCGTATTTTCATTATCCCATATTTTAACCGTTGACCGAAAACGCTCGTCAACAATAGTATGGCGGAGTGTCACGAAAAAATGCATGTGGACTATATTTTACCTATTCGAACACAAAGCTCCCCAAAAAACAGTGCCCAAAATACTGAACAAAGCCCACGAGGCACACAGACCATCTCGCGAACTGTCCATGATCGCAAGATTAGGTCAGTTAATCCCGCGTTCGACCGCCGATCTCCCTCAAAATCTTCTCATAGAAGATTGATCGCCTATGGTCTGAACAGAGAGTTGATAAGGCTGATGCCACTACCCAATCATTTCATCCTCAAAAGTTGAGCATTACATGAATGCACTCGACGCCACCATACGCCCCTAATTGGCACCTAGCATTTAATTCTCTTTCACCTTTTTTTCGTGTATAAATACCGACCCCTTTCGGGTCCAAAAAATATAACACAAGAACATCATGATCAACACATCTTCACATAAGCTGATCTTCTAATGTCATACACAACACTCATACAACACACGATTGTAATCTTACTATAAAATTATTCAAGAAAATCCTTAGAGAAACAATCTTTTTTGTCAATCGCCATAATCTATCGGCAACATAGGTGTCTCTTGTCTTTCTATGCATATCTACTTCTCCCGTTTTATTTATATTCTTTGCCATTAAAGTGTACCATTAGTATTTCGCAACCTTCGATTAAATACCCTAATTTATATTTTTTGTAATCGTTCTCGGCCGATCGTCAAGAGAATGATTAAAATTGACGAGATATAAAAGTAATAGAGGGATAATGAAAGTGATATGTAGTTAAAAATATATAAATAAATGAATAGTAAATTAAAATTAATACAATACACAAGAGAGGTACGTAGTTAATATTAAGTAACTATATCAATAATATTGAAGATAGTGAGGTTAAATTAAATTTTAATTTAAAACGAATAAAAAAAATTGATCCATCAATATATAATTTTGATTTATTAATTGATCCATCAATATATAATTTTGATTTATTTTAACTCCTTACGCCTCCCAACTTTCAAATGACATCGATTGAATAAAATCTATTGTGTACCCAAAAAAA